CTCCTCCTGTTCTCCTCCTCTCTTGCAAAAAGGATTCTTGACATTTCTAACCGAACACATTTAATATTTCCATAGATGGATGGGTCGAGCGTGCACGCGATAATAGAGGGAAATTCAGCGAGAATTAAAGGGAAAACCCGTTTAATTTCTCCGCAATATCGACCGTAAGCCGCGTTATCGGAGGTTTCAGAAGAGGGTTAACCCTTCGCGTGTAGGATTACTTATTCCAGCGTGAAATTGAACCGCGATCCCGTGGCTGGCCTCCTATGAATCCATACCGGCGATAAAAAAAGGTTCACGATCATCGATCTACGTGGTCACTATAGATGCGGTTACAACGGATATTTCGCATTTTCGAGGATAATCGAACGATTGGATAAGAGGAGATCACTTTTCGAGACAAAGTATAGACAAAGTTTTAGACTTATCGCGAATATACGAATATTCGTCTTCTTGGATAAAATGAATGAATCGAAATAATTTTTTAACGCGACTCTTCTCTATTTCATTGTTTTTTAAAATTTATTTTTGGAATTCACATTCTCGAACGTAGCTATAGGTTTTTTTTTTTTTTGATAATTTTTTGTAACATGCATTCCAATAATTCGAAGCAAGTCAAAATTTAATACCCGATATATCCATTAATCCATGAAATTCAAATTTCGAAGATTTCAAATTCGCACCAATCCGATACAATATTTTTCAATTTTCAAAATTATTAATTCGAGATTATATCTTCGCTCGAACCAGAATCGATATATATCTATATTACGATGCCGATATATATATATATATATATATTTAAACACATAAACGCATAAACATTCCGTTAAATTCCTCGTCGACAAGCGAGATTCGATAGAGCGTAAAATAATTACGAAATAGCCGCCACTTTTTTTCGAATTAGTTATGGAAATAATTACACTTTCGTATACGTTTCTCCGCGTGTACATACGCGTGCGTTTCCAGAAATTTAATTACCGGAGCTCTCAACCGCGAAAACAGAGAAAAATTGCGCGACGACTTTTCGAGAAAGTCGGACGAGAATTCGCGAACGGTGAGCTACTCGAAGTTTGCGCGAGAGCACGCGTGTATGGAAATTTCAATTTTCAGTTTGCGCGCTTCTTTCATTAATTTTTCACGCGCCATCTCGTTGAAAGCCTGGCAAATTTCCACGAATTAACTTTACTCGATCCGATCGGAAGGATATTATCCAGTCGGACTCGTTAAACGCGATTTAAGGCACGAAAACGAGCGTTGAATAAAAAGGGGAGCGAGCGCGTGGAAAATTTCGGATTACGGATTGCGTAATAATGAGATCGGCGAGCAACAATGCTCGTTTCGCGTATTATCGGGGAGGGGCGTTATCGTCGTTATTGGTTGAAAATGGCGGACTGGATTCGATCGTGGATCCGCGGATCAAACGGAACCTATGTAATAGATAGATAAATTGGCCGGATAAAATCGCCAATCTCCCTCTCTCTCTCGTTTGCACGCTGATAATCTTCGCCATTTTAATCTTTCGGCTGCGAATCGAAGTGAATTTCGTTGATCGTTTTAGGGAGATGATCGGAGCGGGAGGTTGGGAAGGGGCGTCGAAGCGTGAAGCCAGATACGAAAGAATGACGACAACTAGGCAAATATTCGATACAAATACATGGTGGAAAAACTGGTTCGATGCAATGCCGGTTAAATTTCGATCGAAATTTACGCTCGAATGGCGTGCTTAGGGAAAAATTGGCCGCGTTCTCATTTTCGTTTATTCGCCGAAGAATCTTCTAGAAGGTGTGTAATAAGTGGGATATGCGAAATATTTAGAATCTTTTTCCTTTTTTTTTTTTTTTTCATTCAAATCCTTTTTGATAAGATAGAGATATTTTGAGATGAACGTATGAAAAGTAGTATAGGTTTGCTTTTTTAAGTTACGTTTCAATTTTTTTAAATTTGAGTAACAGGTTAGTGTTACGTAGTTCTGTTAAATTTACGATATAACGCGACTACGTTTTTTCCCGTCTTAATTTGAATACTTTTTTTTTCTACGTCTGCAAATTAAAGATGAGATCAGTGATAAAGTTGTCTGTTTGGCCACGGCAATGGAAAATTACGTAAAGCGTAAGAGAGGATTAGATTGGCAATCCCGTTCTTTACTCTTTAGCTCTCTTGATTGCTGCTCCATACTTTCTAGAAACTGCTCAAAGCGCGCGATCCAGATTACTTTAAACTCACTATCTAAAATGAAACTTTGGCGGGATGAAGATTACAAATTCCTCGGAGAGGTGAAATTTTCTTTCCAAATAGTTCTTTTTCGAGATCGAAATAAAAAATAAATAAATCCCTATAGAGATTCGCCATTATTTAATTTCCTCGGGCAGAATTTGAAAAATTCATTCATCATAAAAATCGAACGTATCTCACAATTTTTTCCCTCCCCCGTAATAATAATAAAATGGAAATAAATCGTTTTATCGCAATTAATTTCTTATTTCTTAATTCGCGATTAACGCAGTGAAAATTCTCCAATATTGTTCGCTTTCCACGTACGAGGCAACATTAAAAGGGACAAGAGGAATATTCCTCGCTAAAGCATTAACCGCACGATGGAACCTTTTACACGCTCACTGGCCGCACAATTACTAAATTATCCTTCCGTCTTCTTTCTCTTTTCGTCGTACTTATGGCTCGTTATATTCTTATACGTGCGATAAACGCGGACGTCGAGATTACACGGAAGGAAGAGCTCGAATACTTCGAACCTACTCGTGGCCAGGTACGAACCGAGTCTTTCATTTCTCGCTCCATTTTCTTCCTGTGATTAGAGTGATTAGAGACTTCCTCGTGTTCAAATCATTGTCATCCTTCGTTTTTACCATACCTTTTTTAACCCACGTTAATGTATTATCGTGAAAATTTAAAGTAGAGAGACAGAGAGAGGGAGGAGAGAAAGAGAAGCTGGATGAAGTTAAACAACGAGTGAAAAAGCTTATATTTTTAAATAAGAATCGTGATAACGTGCATTATAGGTTAGATTATATATTATTACATATTATATTATAGATTATATTATAGATTAGATTGATTTCTTTTATGTACTTATTTATTTGTTTGTTTATTTTTGGGGAGAATTTTGGGGAAATTTTTAGTAATGAGGTTTTAATATCATATCCGCGATTTCATTCCTATTTATGACTTCTGTTTGGAAGTTCCATTAACGTAAATTTTCCCCCGCCTCTATGCATATTTTATCTAACGCTGAACGTTGAAATATTTAATGTTTGGTAAATTAACTTTTGAGGGATAAAACGGAATGAACTATGGAGCAAAATGAAATATCGTGCCAGTGTTGAAACGAACAAAGCAACTTTGCTCGTGATTTTATACATGCCGGGATAATTTCAAACAGATTAAAACATTTTAAAGAAAGAAAACGAAGTTACGTATCAGTAAAGTAAAGATTTTTCCATTTTCTTAAATTTTTTTACATGGTTTTATTAGAGTATACGATTCTTTCCTGTTCGAAGAGGAGAAGAAAAAAAAAGTTTTGCGAAATCATTTTTCTTTTGATAAGTGAATAAATTTTTAAAAAAGAAAGAGAGAAAAAAAAGATCCACTTAAAACTTCTTGTGCTATTCTTTGCTTTGCCCTTTGATTTTTCCCTATTATTCCTTAACTATTCAAAGCGCAAGTTTCAAAAGTATAAATATAAATAGACTTCCAATTTTGCATTATACAAGTTTATAAATTCAATATAAATTCTTTAGTTTAAGTTTCTAAAATTATTCTTAAGCCACTTAAGACTTCTTCGTACTTCGACTTTCGAAACGAACTCTTTATAATATCAAGAAGTTTAATTCGCATAAAATTCTACCAATATTGACACACAAAATTTCGAATTTTTAAAAAAAATCACTATTTAACACCATTTTATTCATCGATAACCCATCAATCACGAAACTAAGCTATATCTACCTTCTTAACATCGAACTATCAAATTATCACATAAAAGTTCGAATTAAAACATCACTATTCCAATACATACATCTTAACATCATCTAAAAAAATTCTATCTCTAGAAAAAAAAAAACGAAACTCATAAAATAAAATATTTTTAAAAAAAAATACGAATTTCGTCGAATCAGAGAGAAATGAAGAAAGAGAAATTTCAATTAGTCTCCTCTCGACAATTCACCGTCACTTCGATAATACTTCGCGTAGGATGAAGTATCGCGATCTCGACCGGAAACTAGGCCGAAAGCGCGCCTCGTTTAACCCCTTTTTGCCACCCTCTGGACGTTTCTCGCCCCTATCCGCCTATTGGCCAATCGTCGTTCGCGCGGAATAAATCATCAACGATGAATATTAATACGGTTGCCGGTCGATCCGTGCTTCAAACTCGCGTTCACGAACTGGGGCGAGAGAATACGGAGAGATATATATCTTCCTACACCCGCTATAATTTTACTGCCGGATGAAAAAAAATGACGCGCTCTATTTTGCACGGGTTTTATCTTTACCTCGAATTCGGACGCATTGTTTAAAAACGATTTAAAACACGCGCGAGAAATGGAGAAATATATATATACATATAGGATAAAAATTTCAAGCGTTTATTTCTTGTATTTTTTTTACGCGCGAACGCGTATTGCAATCGCGATTGGAATTTGTCGATGATTTTTCGAAAGCGTATTACTATTAGAAAAGTTGCAACGCTTGACCGAGTTTATTAAGCGATCGAGTGAGACGAAAAGAGACGAGGATTTCTTTCTTTCTTTCTTTATTATTGTTATTCAATTTAAGTTTCAATCCAACGTTTTGCTGAGAATTAATCAATCGCAGAAGGGAAAATTTACGATTTATGATAATTCGTGATATGTGATTGCAGCGTACATTTTTTCGAAAGATTTCTTTGATTAAATTTTTGCAACGGATAAAATAAATCAAAATTCCCTAACGCCGAGTTGAAGATATGCGTTACATTATTTAATTATTTATATTTTTTTCAGGGTAAATAAGAACTCCATTTTCCCTCATCAATTATGCAATTCGCACGTTCAATTATAAAACAGAAGCCGTGATAATTTAATATTTTTAAAAACTTTGATGATGAATGATTGTTTGCGGTGCAACTGAAACCAGGCACGAAAAAACGCCTGTTATTTATGGAATGGCCTAACATTTTCCTATAAAGCGAGATAGCACGTGAGAGGGATCGAGGGAAGTAAGTTAATTTTTCTCCGACAAAAGTGGCAAGTCTTTCCTCCCTTGGTGTTTTATCATTCAGATCGCCCTCAAGAAGAAACAAAGTTGTTGAAGAAACCCCTGACCCGGGGTTACAATTTATGCAACTTTAATTCGGCCGCAACAATTTTTTTTAATCGGATTAAGAAGAGGGAGATGGGGAAGTTAAGTTTTGGCGCGCGGCGAGACGCGTATAACGGGAATTTATGTTTCTCCAGAAGTGTTTTACCATTTTTATAGCCTCTCGAGAAACACCTGCGCCGATCTAACGAATGCAAGATTGAATAACAAATCCGGAGCTTGACGCGGAGCTTCACACCCCCGGGGAAACCGAATTGTCCACGTACCTTGGTGATCTGTAACAAGAAAACAGGATTCGTATTGTTATTTCTTTTTTTTTTTTTTTTTTTTTTTTTTTTTT